GTTTATTTAGTAGGTTCAATATCTTTGAAAACTCTGTGGAGCCGAAGGACTAAACAAATATTACAATGGAGATCTAAATCGATTTCCTATATTATTTTTTTTTGTTTGCAACGCATCGAATCTCGACAGATCCACAAACCCTTTCTGTCGAGGATGCTGATGTTCATTTTTGCACGCTTTATCGGCCTCCTGAGGGCACGTCCATTATCACCACCTCTTCATGCAGCACCTCTACCACTTCCTCTGTTGATTTGCTGGTGCTGTCTGACAATGCACCTACAGCCACTACACCAGGGTACGAACTGCTATCCGAGTTGCAAGGAATTTTGTAGTTCTTCAAGAAACTTCGTGGTACTTCAGGGAACTTTTTAAAAGTTCAGGAAAATTTCTTGAAGTGCAGATTTTTCTTTAAAGTTCAGCTAACTTTGTAGAAGCTTACTGAACTTCATTGAACTTCGTAGAGTTTCATCGAACTGCTTCAATAACTCTTCTTCTACGTACCTGAAAAAGTTATAAGACAACGACACTTGATACACCTTGCAGCTCGTAATTGACAGTATGGGCTGAATGAGGCTATTCATACTGTCGCTAATGTGATTAGTAACACTTATGCTTCATTTGACACTAATGTTCCGTTAACTGTTTTCACTAGAACACTGTCCTTATTTTGAATGTTTCTTTGGTATTATTATTATTATATTTTGTTTTATGCCTTAAGACCAACATATGTCAGAAGTATCACGAGCTAAATTTAGTGAAATTATTTGAAGTTCTGAGATCATGGAAAAGTTCAGAAAAATTCGTAGAAGTGGGAACTTTATACAAGTTTAGGTATCTTCGTAGAAGTTTATTGTTTAATGGAAGGGAACCTCTATATTATTCAGGGACCTTTTTTATAACTTGGACTTGAAATAGTTCAGAGAATTCCGCACAAATTCATGAAATTTCGTGCGTCAAACCTTGAGCAAAATCAACGAGAAACGTAGACGTTAAGCAAGCTTTAATGAAGTTTTGTAGACTGCGTAATAATTCGAGGAACTGCGTATAACTTCATAGAAGTCCAGGGCATTTTGAAAAAGTTTAGGGAATTTCGTAAAAATAGAATACTTCAGGGATCTTCGTTTCAGTTTAGGGAACTTCATAGCAGTTTGTCAGAGATCTTAAAAATCTTAATGAGCTTCCTGAAGATGAAGATTTTGGACCATCGTTTAATTTCAAAGTACTTTGAAATTTGAGTAAATTTTCTAAAACCTAAGGAAATTTTGTAGATGTTCAGGAAACGTTGCATAAGTAACAGGATATTCTTTCATATATGCTCCCTAGACAGCCAGGAAGTTTTAAAAGATCAACATTTGCTGATGTTCTTCTGATCTGAATTAGCGAGTTGCTAAATAAAAGGATGACTTAAGAATGTGGTTAAGTTTTTGAATATCATAATTTTTCAAATGGATAGATCAACTTTCAACAAGGTATTTTCCAAATTTAAACCATACACTCTGGTAACATGGTGGCAACATGGTGATTTGATTGGTTGCTCTGTTGCAGGTTGTAGCAATGGCTGTACCACTTTCTGGTTTGTTGTAGCGAGATGGTGGTCACTTTGTGGAATTGGTGCTGATACTCAGGCGCTTCCTTCTGACATTGTTATGGTATACAAAGGCAAGGTCGCCCATTATCTAACCGAAAAGGTTATTTCTTCAAAGCGATTACGGACATCGACGCAAAAACGATGCCATCGAAACCCTCAGAGCAAAGGTCAGCAGAAGCCACCTTGATCGTACCGTGCCAACCAGAAAGCGATTTGAAGGAACAGAACAGAAGGTAGGTAGACTTGGTGATATTAATAATTGGAATGGTAAATATATCACTGCACTGGTCTACACGCTCATCTGAGTTAAAGCCAACGATGCCCGCTCATGTCACTATTTTGCTGCAGCTATTTAGCATAGACCGCGCCATCACCCAGTGGGTCACCACTTCTGTTATAGAATTTATCTGATTGCTCGATCACATGAGGCACATTAAAAAAAATCTGAACATTTTTAAAGTAATGGTAACAAAGTACAAATGAACGCGTAAAGGTAATACGCCAAGAAAAAAAATATTCTGCAAAAAATTCTTTCACCCATTGAATTATCATAACATTGCTGCATTCGTAGCATTCCGATATAATCTATTCGTATTTTGAATCCCATCTAACAATGTATACCAGTTGTGTTGCCGATGAATGGTTAAATTACGTTGAAAATGTGTGAACGTCTTGCAACGGTCAAATCCCCATACTAAACAATACCGATACACTTTTTGTAGAATTTTTGTCCATTTTATAATTTGAAAATAAAGTGTCAAAAGATGTTAGTCATGCAAGTGCAGTTAAGTGTTGAACCGGAAAAAAATAAACAAAGAATATTCTTATTGACCGGAAAATTAATGGCTTTTGCTATTAGAGGATTTCAAGCATTTAAGCACTGCAAATATATGCTACTTTTCCTCTAATACCCTGGACAGACTATAGCTTATATCATGTAATATAGGCTGTCTTGCAATGAGCACTCATACATCTAGTTTTCACTGGAAATCCTATGTATGAGTGCTCATTGCAAGACAGCCTATATTACATGATATAAGCCATAGTCTGTCCAGGGTATAAAATAGGAATGGTTTGTGCAAACGCAAATGAAATGTCGGTCCAAGCAACCAAGTTTCAACAGCGTGTATTTCGCTTACCTACACCTTCCAAAACTTCGAGCTCTGCAGTTCTGGCATTAATCGTAGCACATGAGATGAGGCACATGAGATCAGCGCGAGCCTCGCGCACGCCAGGATTTTTGGTTGTCGCATTTGTTTCTCACTCGTATCTTATTCTCGCGTGTCTCTTTCTCGCTCGTCACATGTTGTTTTCGTTGCGACGGGAGACGGATTGATCGGCAGCACATTTTTGCACACACGAGAAAAATGTAACTCTGCTCACAATACTGGTATTTTTAGAGTCGGAGTGACGTGGTCTTTACACGAAATCGATGCCTGAGGCCATTTTAAAATTCAAGATTGCGGTTAGAGAAAAAATTGAAAATTCTGTCAAATACCCCGTACCTAGGGGTATTTTTGGAATCGGGGTGACGACCATTTTGATATCCATGATGACGGCTTCCGCTTAAATAAAAACTGGGATATTATGTCAAATACACCATCTTATGAGTATTTAAGAAATCTTGGTGACGTGTAGGGACCGGAAACTAATGCCTTTTTTAAATTCAAGATGGTGGCTTCAAGTTAGAAAAAAAATTGAAAAATACTATGAAATACCCCTCAATATGGGTATTTTTGAAATCGTGGAGATGTGTAGAGACCGGAAATGCATGGCTGACGACATTTTGAATTCAATATGGTGGCTTTCCGTTAGCGAAAAACTTGGAAATTCTGTCCAATATGGGTATTTTTGGAATTGGAGTGACGTGTATGGCCGGAAAACCCGCCTGTATTTTTCTGTTTTTCTGTAACCGGAAGCCACTATATTGCATTTCAAAATAGCATCAGACATGGATTTCTGGACCCAACATGTCACCCCGATTAAAAAAATACTCATATTGTGGTGTATTTGACTGTGTTTCCAAGTTTTTTTCTACCGAAAGTCACCATATTGGATTCAAAATGACGTCAGACATCTATTTCCGGACCCTACACGTCACCCCAATTCCAAAAATACCCATATTGAGCGGGATTTGATAAAATTTTCAAGTATGTATATATTACATGTTATTAAAAATGGCATCAGACATGGGTTTCCGGTGCCTACACGTCACTCCGACTCCAAAAATACCCATATTGAGGAAGCCGAAGAAATTATTGGCTGGAAACAATAACAAAGTTGATTGAAACAAATTTAGAAGTAATAAATTACCGAAAACCGCAACCATCGCTTATATAACTCCAACGTTTTCCATCCAGTCGACTGCAGCGGAGGTTACGACTCTTCGCAAGCAACAACTCTGGTTTTATAACGCTCTTGGAGACCATGGTTTAGGCTTGAAGAGTTCTTTAAAACCTCGGTAAAACTTGCAATGTTACTTGGGTTGTCACTTAAAATCGTCACTTCAGTACGACTTTTGTCACCGAAATACGACAGTGAAAATAGGGAGCTGCACCATCGGGTTAGCCTCACTTTTTTTGACATCTGGCAGTGGTTTGTTTACATGGATTTAGAAAAAAAAATTAAAAAATATTAAATGTTTTTTAGATTTTTTGGACCGGAATATTTTTTAAACGAACATAGTCGGATATCATATCTTTTAATTCTATTTATTTAAAACCTCTAATCCACTTGAATCGACTAACAAGCAAAGGTAAACAAACCACCACTGGATGTCAAACTGATGAATGCGGGTTCATCGCGTTCATTCGTGACGTCAGCGTGCAGCATCCTATAAGGTGAGAGTTCATCGGGTTAATCGTAAGTGACTCCTCATTCGCCACGCAGAATAACCTTGACTGTAATTTACTGAAACTTTAATGATTTTTTTTTTTTAAGATTTATCGTTATTTAAAAAAATATATTCAGTTCTCCTGAGAATTCCCATGAAATTCACCTCAGAATTGTTTGAAATTCTGCTTAGAATTATTTCTCCACCAGATGCCCTTACAAGTAACAACAAGTTAAAAAATGTTGAGGCCTGACATTCAAATGCCCAAAGTCTTTTAAAAATATTCTAGAACTCGAGGAACTAACGGAAATATTTCAATAACTAGGCGCTTAGGAGTGTCATCCAAATTAGTCATACACGGTGATATCTATTCTCATGAAACTGTATTCAGCGCAATACTTAAATGCACAAAGTGGTGTTTTGAAGTGTACAATACAAAAATGTGATTTCATCCTCTAAAATAACAATCTAAACCTAACCTAAGCATTAATATTTCAATAAATTACTTATCAAATTATATCATTTGGATCAATTATTCATCATCTCAACGGATGAGTTGTCCCCTCGTGTCCCATCACCACCACCGCCGCCGTCTGGCCCGTTCCAGATCATCAATTGTTCCAGCCAGGCCTCCCTTCCGATTGGTAGGGATAGGGCCACTCATTGTGCGGTTCGTACCTCCTTTCCGGCAGATCCTTCACGTACACATCTTTGTCCTTCTTGTGCGTGAAGTTCTTGAATGCACCCAACAGAAGGAGCAAAATGGCCAACTTTCCGGCCATGAAAGACTTCAACAGGAACAACTTCACCGTCGTCAGCATGAAAGGAATAATCGCCGACTGAATCAGGAACGGGAGGATGAACAATGGCATGGCGTATTTCCACATCTTCTTATTACCACCGCCGCCTTGACGACCTGCGATTAAGATGAAATTACAGTCAATATTAAGAATTTTAATCCAATGACATCCTACCTGTGAAAATGTCCTTCAGGACTTTTTCGTTCAATTTTACGTTCACAATATTGTTTGGCTCGTCGATGGTCATATTGAGAACGGGTCCAAAATCATACTTTTTGAAATCCTCCGACTTGAATGGCTCCTCTTGATCTTTTTCTTCAACCTTTTCTACAGGCTGCTGCTCACCGGCTGAGATCTTGACCTCTTCCAGAATGCTTTCGATCATTTTATAATCTTCCTCATACTTGTTCTCTTCCACCCTCTGGTCGTGATTATCTTCCAGTCCTCCTAGATCGTAATCATCGTCATCAATCTCATCAGCCGAAAAATCATCGACCTGAATCTCCGGTTCGTGATCTTCTATGAACGGTGCCGCTTTAACACTTTCTCGAATAGAATTGTAGTACACTGAAGGAGTCCTGTTGGCTATGTACGTGCTCCGAAGCCTGTTCTTCACCTGAGTCTTCGCTGGTGGCTCTTCAGGAACCGCATCCACTTTCGGTTCCGCACGCTCCTCCTTCGGTTGAACACTTATCTCATCCACTTTGGCCTCCTGCACCTCCGGCTCCGGCTCGGGCTCGGCATCCAACTCAGGCTGCGGCTCGAATCTTGGCATCTTTGCCAAAACCCGCCCAAGTTCATCCGGTTCCGGAGGCGCCATGACCGACTGAATCGCGTCAGAGCTGCTGCTTTTCACTTTCCATGATTTTCGCATCTCACAGTTCACCCACGCAAGGCCGCTCAACAGAATCACACCGGTCCACAGAACCCGTCCCGTCACCATGATGCTCGTTCCCGATTTCAGTCTATGAACTATTGAGATTAAAATCGCACCGTCCACTAGTAACTGTATGTACCAACGACGCAATCGTTCGACCGTTGACAATGAACTGCCAAGTCCCTGGTATTAGCTTGTTTTCCAGCTGCCTATCACCGACCTGCCGAGCGAGGAATGAGAAGAACCGTTGCACGGCACGCGATTATATTTTATTAAAGCTTACACTTGCCCAGAGACCGAGCGAGAGGTAGAGAGAGACCTGCAACCGATGCATGTGCATGGTGTTTGCAATTGCAGTGGAGGCACACGGATGGATTGATTCCCACCATGATCGCTCGGTGTGGATGCGTTTGCGGTTTAGCATCTGTTGCACTTTCTTTCGGTTGTTTTGGTTTCGAAGCAAACTGGTGGGGGAGTTTGATCTTCTGTGGGTGGGGGGGTTGGTGAAGGTTGTGGAACAGCATCATTGCAAAAACCAATGCGTGAGCTGATGCAGTGGCAAATTCAATTATCTCATCATGGCGGTGCAGCAGAGACATGGCAATTGTGGAAAGTCTTGGAATTATTGAATCGGTCTTTGGTCTTTAGGCAGCGCGTGGAAGTACTAAGGCTCTGAACCATTTGGCGATTTTTAAAACTTTTGGTTAAAATTATACAGATGGAAAGTTATTGGCAAATCAAAGTTGGCACTCGTGGAGAATAGAAGAACTATGAAAGTGATGATGGTTTTCAAATCTTCCACGAGGAGACATACGAATGTAATCTTAAAATTCTTTTATTTTGCAAATGAAGCATTTTATTTAAATTTGGTTGCTGCTACGCTACAGTGGTAGAAAAGCTGAAATATATGCATACACCTAAAAATCTGAAAATAAAGGGTGATACGGTCAAAATTTGGTCAATATCAACTTGACGTATTTCTTTCAATTTTGCATTTAAAAATCCTGAACACCCCTCATTTTGAAGGTGTGTGTGTGTAGAATGTTGCTCCTATTTTGATTTCGGAATTCACTCTTCAGTTGTCAAAATGCCGTCCAAGCAAGAAGAGCAGCGTATCAAAATTTTGCTCGCGCATCGCGAAAATCCGAGCTACTCGCACGCAAAGTTGGCAAAATCGCTAAAAGTTGCCAAATCAACCGTTACAAATGTAATTAAAGTGTTTGGGGAACGTTTGTCGACAGCCAGGAAGTCTGGATCGGGGATAAATCGAAAACCGGAAGCCGCTGAGACGACAAAGAGAGTTGCCGGTAGTTTCAAGCGAAACCCTAACCTCTCTCTCCGAGATGCCGCAAATAAGCTGGGTGTATCGTCTACAACCGTGCATCGAGCCAAAAAACGAGCCGGACTATCGACTTACAAGAAGGTAGTGACTCCAAATCGCGATGATAAACAAAATACGACGGCCAAAGCGCGATCCCGGAGGCTGTACACGACGATGCTGACGAAGTTTGACTGCGTGGTAATGGACGACGAAACCTACGTCAAAGCCGACTACAACCAGCTTCCGGGACAGGAGTTTTATACGGCAAAAGGAAGGGGAAAGGTAGCAGATGTTTTCAAGCACATGAAACTGTCAAAGTTCGCAAAGAAATATGTGGTTTGGCAAGCCATCTGTACCTGTGGCTTGAAAAGCAGCATTTTCATAGCTTCCGGGACTGTCAACCAAGAAATTTACGTGAAAGAGTGTTTGAATTAACGTCTGCTGCCTTTCCTGAAGAAACACGGTTGTTCCGTACTGTTTTGGCCGGATTTGGCATCTTGCAGTTACGGTAAAAAGGCCATGGAGTGGTACGCCGCCAACAACGTGCAGGTGGTTCCCAAGGACAAGAACCCTCCCAACACGCCAGAGCTCCGCCCAATTGAGAAATACTGGGCTATTGTCAAGCGGAACCTAAAGAAGACCAAAAAAACTGCTAAGGGCGAGCAGCAGTTCAAGGCAAACTGGCTTTCTGCGGCGAAGAAGGTGGACAAGGTGGCTGTACAAAATCTGATGGCAGGGGTCAAGCGTAAGGCCCGGCAATTCGGATTTGGAAAAGTGGAAGCGTAACTGAATATTTTTCCTGAATTTTATACTAATTGAACTTGAAAAAGAAATTTAATTTGATTTTTTAAATAAACGATACCACCGATTTACACGCGTTTTCCCTTGACCAAATTTTGACCGTATCACCCTTTAAATTATATTTTCTATATTATATGTCCATTGAGTAGTCCTTTAGTTTTCTACTAACGTACCATTAACCAGATTTAAATAAAATGCTCCATTTGCATAATAAAAGCATTTTAAGATTGCACTCGTATACCTCATCATGGACAATTTTGAAACCATAATCTTACTCATAGTTCTTCTATTCTCCACGAGTGCCAACCGTGATTTGCCAATTGATTTAATCAATAACTTTCCATCTGTTTAATCTGCTTTCCGAGCGTGGTTACTTCTGACAGAAAAAAAAGTTAAATTTTGACAACTGTGGCTGAGTTCTTCTCGAAAATCGGTCGATGGACAGCACAAGGATTTTCAAACATAGAAAATAACTTCCGAAATGTCACTATTAACCATGTATTAAATTTACCTCGGAAAATGGTTCACAGCCTAAATAGCCTAAATGTTGAATTATGAATTGAATCTCCACGAAGTCAATGCATAATCGTTGATGAACAGCAAAATTTTCCGTCTGGATTTTGGAAGTGAGAATCAGAGCTGCCAGGTGGTTTTATTAAAAATCTGTATCCACTCTATTAAAAAATCTGTATTTTCTGTATTGACGATTTTTTTCTTAATTAATCATGTTTTGTTGTTTTACAAATACAGTGCATACAAAATAACCATAAAAAGTGCTTAACCACCTATTCGGGCTATCGTACTAACCATACGGGATATAATTGCGCCATTTGTGATATCGTGCAAAAAAGTGCACGAGTTCATTACTATTTGATATTTTTAATATAGATGAATACAATTAATTACATCATTTGTGTGGTAGTTACACCGAAAAGTCGAGAGATGTCGCCCCGCCAGTGCTGGTAAAATCATTTTTGCAGTATGGAGAGTATCCCTAAGTATGGAGAATATCAGAAAATCCGCAATTTCTTACGAAATACATTTTCAATGCAAGTAAAATGTTTACGAGTACTTGTATTTGTACCATTTTAATGTGCTCGGGCACTTTTCTTGTATTTAACATACATGCTTATATTGGAAATATTCAATTAATACTGTAAATCCCCATACAATCAAAAAAATTATTTTGTTTTTATAAATTTTGAATTTTTTTTTCTCAAGCATTTTATAAAAATCTGTATAAATCTGTATTGTAATTTTAAAATCTGTGATAAATCTGTATTCTGTATCGGGTCTGTATTAAGATTAAAAAATCTGTATAATACAGATAAATCTGTATAAATGGCAGCGCTGATGAGAATTCAGTTTTATCTCAGTATTGGTTTACCGTAAGAAAAATGTTAGGTTCACGGTCGATGAAAGTAACTCAGTAACCGTGTTGAATTTTACTCAAATTTGAAAAATGTGGGGCTACTCGGTGAGTAAGTGAAATTTTCCTCACTTTTCTGGAAAAATTGACCAAAACTGTTACTCAGTCCAGTAGTATACTAATAGACTGAGTGAAATATCTCTCGATTGTCCTCATATTCAAGCAGTTTTTCCTGGAAAATCAAGGAAACAATTACTCATTTACTAAGTAACGCCAGTTCAATTCGACTCAATTTTGAGTTACTCTACTTACTCTACTCTAGTTACTCTACACAGCTAAAAAAAACGTTAAAAAGGTTGCAGACAGGTTGAAAAGACCCTTGGCTCAAAAGTCCCCACGGTAGATGCTGGCTGGGATGTCGTAAATGCCAAGTCAGTTTCCAGATGAAGAATGAAGAGGACAGAAATAAAAAAAATCGTTTAATTTTTTTAACGAACCTGTTTATGTCTTAGAATTTCAAAATAAATTAGCTATTTAAAAGTATGTTGAACAGGCCGATTCCCTAAACATCTGTAAACACTGTCCACTCGTTTTTTAGGACATGCATGTTTACCAACAACACGAGGCTGTTGGTACAATAGTTCTTAAAATATTGTTATTTCAGCATCGGTTCTTCACTGCTTCTTCCCAAAGATGTAGATTTTTAAAATCTGGCATTCTATGAATGGATCTGATGCAGACAAGACCCGCCAAGTATTGCAATAAAATATAAAATATAATTGAAGAAATGATCATAAACACACAGTGAGCATTAAATTGTCATGGGATACGTTTGGTAATGATCAGTAATGAGAATTTCTACTATTTTTTGATAAGATAATTTGACAAAATCACTGATATAATGATTCACTACACCCGTAATTTTTTTTTTCTCGCTAAAAGTCATTTGAAGTTGATGTAGAAGTCCTCTGTTGCCAAGTGAAAAGAAAGGGAATCTTTCGAAAACCGTGATGCGAGTTTAACTGTTTTTCTCTTGGTATGACTCATTATACACCGACTCTACGCACAACGATTCTCGTACACGGTAACCGCAAAATACCCAATAATGACTACAGAGTAAGCATTTTCGAGGGAGACTGGGACTACCTATTAAATGAGTAAAAATATTACCCATCTGAATTTTAACTATCTCCATTCGTTTAATTTTGAGCTATAATTTACATAAACAGCGAAATCGTTTACAAGCTAATTTATGCGATATGGCGCTTAAATTTACATGAAATATCGCGTAAATTTATGCCAAATCTAGCGTTAATTTTATGTGCGCTATATCTCGCAGAAATATACATGAATTTTTCAAACGGTGTACAGAATCGTCATTCAGCTATACAAAGTGTCAAAATATTTCACGGCGGTGTGATCTCATGCTTTAACTTTTGCATCTCGTGTCGAAGTGTAGATTCAATAGTGATTAATTGTTGGTATGAAACTATTTACAAAGTTTTATTTGTAACCAAGTCGAGTAGAACAATATTTGCGTTCGGAAAGCGTCGTATGACAATTTCACGAAACATCAAGGACTCCTGAAGCTGCTCCGATTTGACTTCCCATTCTATACACTCGTTTATGATACGGATCAGACGATAAACAGAACTGGATCGTTCCTTTGTTCTCGAGTATCGCTAATTCTTTTAGGAATGGATACTCGCTTTGTTAGATTTTACACGGTAAAAAAATAATTTTAATATCACATCAGAGTGGATGCACTTTAATCGTGTCGAAAATATGATGCAATATTACTTGCCCAAAA